TACCCAGTCTTATCTCCAGCGCCGGAGATCGAATACCGAAGGCCTAAGAACAACTTCCTTGTCCCGATAGACAGAGTCGAGCCAGGTTTTGAGTCGACCCCCTCTTCGACGTTTCCAATTAGGTTACGGCTTCAAGTGGAGGGCAGTAGCACTGAGCTCCTAAGGTTGACGACGAAGAACGTGTTCAAACCACCTCAATCGTCTTTCCTGGATGGCCTGGGATATCTTTGTGATTTTGTCACAGCGAGTGTGGACTGTCTCATGTGAGACCAAGTCAGTGTACTTCACTCGAAGGATGCTCCTCAGACAGTAGTGGTCAAAGACTTCTAGCTTCCGTTCATCTTCCACGCGTATAGCCCAACATTCACATCCGTATAGGAGAACGAACCGCACAGATGCATGGTACACGCGGATCTTTGTGGAGATAGAGCTATCGCGTCGGGTCCATAGGCACTTCCGAAGGCTGGAGAAAACTCGTCATGCTGAGTTAATTTGGGAGACAATGTCACCTTCACTCTATCCATTCGGCAGCAACCACCTCTCTGGCCTCCCATGACTTCCCATCTCCTAAAGAACTGGGGCCTGAAGATCGCAGTTGCTAGGGTTAAACTTACTTAATCCCCTGCGATACGACCTACAGAACGCAAGTGCGTAGATTAATTAGCCCTGACTATCCGGCTGTTAGCAAAGCCGCTATCACGACTTTTGACCAAGACAGTTGATCTTAACACACTTTTAGGTACTTTAGTGCTCACCGACGTTTCTGTCGTCATCCTTAAGACGGAATTCCAGAAGTAAGTTGAGCTGAAGAATAACAAGACAAGAAGAAGAAAATGCAATCACTGGACAAAGAATTTTATTTTCCTGACGTTTCGGATTCTGTCGAGAATCCTTTATCATGGCCTACCGTAGGATAGTGTGAGAAATGCGTAGAGACATGAGCATTGCTTTCTGCTCAAGCCTCTCATGAAGAAACCGCGACGGATGTCGGAACGTCAGGCTAATAAAAGTGTTCTCCCAGCGATCGAATCAGTTACTTCTCTGGACTCACTAGTGACGTCCAGTTTGATCTCGACTTCGTCTATGCTCATATCTGATGGTAAATACCGATCCTGCGATGAGATCAGTTTAGACTAGCCTATTCCCAGGCTACTAGTACAATGCTTCCAAATGTGAAGTAAGAGTGTCAAACCTGACTTTATCTGGGTAGATAATGAGCACGGATTCAATCCAACCGCTTTACGAACTAAAACTGGATGTCCAAACCTTCGCAGTACCTATCATCTTTGAATAACTAAACTATTTCTTCCATATACTGAATGCCTAATGCTGTTTTCCTTTTTGCAGTGCCTGAAATACGTAATCACTCATGTACCTTCTGGCCCACTGCGATCGTACGCTGTCAGTGACCACTAAAATACTACTAATGCATGCATTACTGCTAATTTTACACATGAAACGACGCACTGCACGTTTTGTTCTGTTTACTATTATCAGTTTGTTACACATCAGACAGACAGTGGAGGTTTAGAATGAACACCTTAAAACACATTTTTGCCTACCAATTTAACGCAAAACACCTACTGTACAATTCCACAGTCGATACTAGTAGTGACACTCACTGATTAACGTTCACGATCGCTAACGGAACTCATTCGACCACCAGGAATAATAAGAAATTAAGGCCAGGAACGGTTAAGCAAAATATATTCATTGTTGGATGAAATATTAGCGTTCCAGTTTGCCATGACCATTTGGTATAAAACTAAAAAGTAACTGGCTTGACTTATTAGCGACGCTCAATGATTAACGTTCACCGATCGCCAACGAAACTCACTTGTCCTGCTCTGTCTTGAGACTCATTCTCAAGCTCTTTCAGCAACCGTATAGCGGCAAGTAGTCTAGGCAGATAGCACCGGGCCTCTTGTGGGGGGCACCACTTCAGTTTGGGTATGACTGGCTGACGATGGCTAATGAGTCAGAAGTGGCCATTCCAGTCTCCCTTGTCTTTGCTGGCAGTGCTACCTGTCTAAACTAATCGCCGCTGTGTGACGCTGTCGTAGATTGCGAATGGGTCCCAAGGCAAAGCGGGACGAGTGAGGTATATTAAG